AAGAGAGGAACATCTTGTCTTAAATAAAATATTTATGAAGTTGGGTTTTCTTTAGGGTCAGGTCCACAGTCTGGACCAAGGCTGGGTGGAGCTTTATGTCTGCAGGCCCAGGTCAGGCTGCGCTTGATTTTCTGGGCCAGGCATTAAGTCTACTTTTCGTCCCTCCCCTTGATTAAATGTAAACAGAAAAGCATGCTAGATACTGAAGATGATGTTAGAATGAGGTTGTCCTCTATTAAGTCAGAAAATTTAAAACTATATTCAGAGTGAAGCACACCATCTCATTAGCTTCTGATGAATGAAAATATAATTTCTAATATGATGGCTATACTGAGCAGCTACTATTGAATACAGCATTTAATGACCCAGTAAAGTTGTTTTTTTCTCATCCCAGAGCATTTTGTATCATTACAATAAGCATTCTGTTCACTAAAGTCCTTTTCCTCATGCAGTTCAGATTATTTGTGCAATGCATTTATAAATGGCCTCACATGTTTCTTGAACAACTTTTATAATTTTTTGGTTGCAAAGTACCAACCTGGAATAATATAAAGCCTCAGGTTTTGTACTACACATCAGTAATCTGGTACTAATCCCAGATTGGGGAAAGGAGGGGCTTTCAGAAGAACACTTAAAGCTGATTGGTCAAAGCAACACCTAGTGTAAAGCCCTCCTAATATGTTTGCTTTGGTTTTAGGCTAAACCTTCCTTTGATACAAACCATAATTATTCTTGTAAAGTATTAAACCAACAAATGGACACAGACTCATCTGAATGAACATCATGAAAAATAACTCAGTTTCTCAAAGTTTTTCTCCAATAATAAAGCTTTTAATATTAACAATTCATCCTGAATACTGACTTTTTTGGCAAATTGCTAATAGTACTTTCTATATTTACAAGTATTTGTACTCCAAGTCAGTTTCTATTATTTTCATTTGGGTTTACAAATTTTATTTTCAATGTTAAAAAATAAGTGAATAGGGGCATGCAGGTGACGCAGTGGTTAGTGTGGACGACAGATGTATGGAGGCCTTAGTCCTAGACGCGACCGACCCAGGTTCGAATCTGACCTGTTGTCCTTTGCTGCATGTCTCTCATACCCCCTTTCCTGTCAGCCTACTGTCAGAAAAACGAGCCACAAGTGCTGTAAAAAACTCAAAAAAAAGTTAATAAACAGCATTTACGCCACATAAGAAACAGTTGTGTCTGTCGCTGCACGATCTGTTCTGCGCATGCACCATCAGCTAATTTGCTCATGTGCATCCAGATATACATCCGGGTCGCCCTCGATTTGATTTTGTTAAAAAAAAGACCTAAATGACGTTTTTCCCTCCCCAAAAATAGTAAGTGTACTAAAAAATAATATGTTAAAGGTCACTAATGCATTTCCTGAGAAAATAAATTTCTTAAAATCCTTTCTGATTTATCACTTGTCTGCCCGATCTGCACCGAAAGTGCGATCCTACGCCTACGTCCGGTGGCTAACTTTTTCGGCTTTGTATTTAAACATAAATCTAGTCTTTTTGAGTTTCATGTTTTCCTTTTGTTTTAACTTTATGGTATACAGTGCGGGATCTAAAATGCAGATAAACATGGTTTAATCATATTTTGCCGGACGGCACTGAGCATGTCTGATGATAACGTCAGAGAAGCAGTTTTACGAAGAAAATGCAAAAAGCATCAAAATTGCTTTAAAAAAAGTCATAAAACATTTTTTTTTAAGTTTTGTATTAGCATTTTTTAGCGAGTTAAGGGTATAAGTAAGTCATTTTAGTACCATAATTACATTATTTATGGACACCCGGATGTATATCAGTTCCCGCATGTGCTGGACGGCTAGTGCTTCCTGGACTGTATCAACAGAGGCATATATATGACTGTATTACTTGGTCTGATATTATAGAGATAATTGAAGATCCTGCAGAAGCTTAAGGTGGTTCTCGGAGCCAAATGTTTGACACCATCTGCTCTATGGGAAAATAGCCTTCTTCTTTATTAGAGGAATATAACTTATTTTAAAAGGAAGCTTCTAAAGGATGATATCATCTCTTTGTTCATTAATGTTGTCCCATGCAGTTTTCTACTCATGTCTTCCATTCATAATAAAATAAATTCAGACTCATTGACCTTAAAAATTATGTTTGATCGTTGTTTTTAGAATTCTGTACATAAAACAAGCCATCAAAGTAAAATAAGTTTTCAGAGAAACCTTTGAAGAAACCTGATGTGTTTCCGTAGTTTCTTTCATTTTTTAAGGTTTTTTTAATCTCTTACAACATCCTATTTAGCATTTTCAATAAGTGATGAGGAATTTCATCATCAAAGAGCATCTTTCAAAGATGACATCGCGCAGCTTGACAGAAAAATGGTTTCTCTGTTTCCTTTCTCTAATGATGATTACAGAGTACAAAGGGGCAGAAGAAGGATGCCGGAGAAATGAGAGGAAATGAACAGAGGCAGGGCAGAGGCTGCCCAAAGATTAAAGCTGTGCGTTTCTGAAGATGGAGAGTTTAGACATCAGCAGTCCAGCAGTCAGTGTTAACCCTGCAAAGCACCATCACTGACATGAAGCTGTGGCTACAAGAGGCTCTGTCAAAGACTGAGTGATGCAGAAAACTCATTTCCATGTTGAGTGCTTGTCATTAGAACGAAGAAAGCATCGCTCCTTTCAGCGGCGTAATCAACACATCCACACTAACAAGAAGCGCAAAGTAATGAGTTGATTAATCAATTCAGCCAATCATCGGCAAATCACACCAGAAGTTGTGCTTCAAGCTTATAATGGGAAAATACTCCAGAGTTATTTAAAAGATCTCTGTCTACAAGAATGATTTTCAAAGTTGGAAATATATGAACAAGCAGCAGGAATGCCCTGATTAAAACCGGGGAAGGTCAGCAGCAGTAAGGTCTGCCAAAAAAAAAAAAACTGCAAAAGTTAAGACAAAACTGTTCAGCAGCAAAGTTAATCTTCCTGCTGTCAGGATGTTTTACCCACAGGTTTTATTAATAAGATTTAACCTCTTTTAGATTCTGATTCATATCATAAAAACATCCCTTTATGTCAGGTGTTTTTCCCTGTGACTTAAAAACAGCAATTATCAAACCTTTTTTGAAAACGAGAAACATGGACAAATGAATCCTGTAGAACTACTGGCCTATCACAAACCTCCCTTTCAACAGTAATATTTATCATCATCATCATCACCTTTATTTGCATTGTACTTTAAAACAGCTACAGATCAAAAAGTGCTGAAAACAATAACAAAACACAATAAAAGAATAAATAAAAATAAAATTGCCTTGCCTGCCTTGCCTAAAGCAAAGTGATATTTGAGGAGATACCGTAGGATTTGGCCCTATCCAAATGAGCAAACTATACGATTTTGGATATGATGTGTGCCTGCAATGTGCAGCTGTAAACAGAAGCACTACAAAAACAGACCAATGCAGCCCCTGTTGCCTCTTATATGGAGCTTATTTGTACCCTTTTCCCACTGAACAATAAAACAGTTTAAACCAAAAGACAGTCGGATTATAGTGGCAGTGGGAACACCACACTGACCCAGGTCAAACAACTTGGTGAGCAACTCGGGTTAAAATGGCCTTAGAAGAGCTCGACTACGGTCGCCATAGAGTTGGAACAGTAAACTCCATATTGACCTGTTCATTTTACGTGATACCATGAGCACAATGAACATACAGCTTGCCAGGAGGGGGGTCAGACCCTTTTTTTTGCCAAAGGAAAGGGAGCCAAATGCCGAAAGTTAGCGAGTCGTCCTGGAGTTGAAAAACTCACTTTAACCCACTAATATCAGTGGGAAAGCGGCTTTAGTCTCAAAAAGGTTCAGAAAGTGTATAGCAAGGTTTTTAAGTGTACAACAGCATTCATACATTTGTAGCACAAAATTGTACTTGTTTACGTTACCTACTTAGGACCATTTTTGGTCTATTTACTAACCTTCTGAGGACCAACAGGGCTCATGGGGAACAAAGACTGGACCTTATGTGGGGGGGGCATTCTCAATGCTATCTTAGAATCCCTTTCAGAATTCAGATTAGATTTTTTTTTTTTTTTTGCAACGATCTGGGCTGTTTTCTCTTTCTTGTGTCTAAGATGAACTCAGACAGACATGCAACAATGTTAGAAGTAAAAACGTATTGAAGAATATAAAAAAAAGCTTGAAAAAAACAATCCACTGGACTTTGTTTCCAAGTTTGAAGACGTTTCGCTTCCCATCCAGGAAGCTTTTTTAATTCAAAATGTCAGAATTAGCGTTGAGTTTGAGGCTTTATAGAGTGAATAAAAACAAAGCCTTGTTCTAGCTTGGTCCACTTTATAAAGCCTCGAACTCAACGCTAATTCTGACATTTTAAATTGAAAAAGCTTCCTGAATGAGAATCGAAACGTCTTCAAAGTGGATTGTTTTTTTTGTTTTTGTTTTTGGAACGACTATGCCCTGGAAGCCTGAGAATCTTCACCACCTTCACCTTCACCTTGATGGATAGGATACAACTGAGCATTAGAGTAGAAGATCAGAGGCCCTTCCAACATTCTTCCACAAACGTTTTTGAAACATAGATAAAAGTGATAAGATCTGTTTTCCCTCCTTCTGAAAGTTTGAAATATGGGAGTTGTTCAAGGCCACTTGGAACACTTTTTGGTAATCACTTAAGTGATTGCTAAATTGTTTTGTTTCGTTTACGCTGATATCATTCTCCAGAGCACAGCAGAAGCCAGTCCAATCGTAAGTGTTAATTTAAAGAAAGGTTGATTTTTCAAATGTTTTGAGTAGCGTTTAATTAAATAATGGCAATGCTGAAATAGAACAATTAGGATCTGAATAGGGACTGATTTCACTAAATAATCATTGACTGAATCCTAATGAAGACAACAAGAGAGGAATTCATAATTGATCCTTGTAGCTGATGAAAGCTTCGCACTTTGCAGCTGCAGTTCTTATATCAGGGAAAACAAATTTAAAAAATTTAAAAGTCACCTCATTGAAGGAAATTTTGTTGCTTTTCCTTTTTTTGGATAAACTCTTCCACGTTTTCCCGAAGAAGTGCTGCAGCTTTCTGTCGAAGAGAGTCACTCGCAGCTGGTAGGTCACATCTTCCTCAGCTGTCGGGTCCTGCAGATCGACAAAAGAGATTGGATAACCATCTAGAGCACATTAGGTGAGTTATAAATAAATCACGTGAATATGCAAAAAGTATGCAGCTCTAATTGGCTCTAATAGCAGAAGACTAGGGATTCAATTTGATTAATTCAGTTCTAAATGGATTCATTTTGATACAACCTGTTCTTAAGATAATGAAAGTGTTTCAACTGTGTTTCAAAATACTCATGTATTTGACCTTTTCCTGTCACATTAAACGTACAAACTTGTAAATCAGACAGTTTAAACTTGAGATGTGAACAGAACTGTCTCAAAAGTGCAAAACTTGTTTGTGAAAAGTGAAAAAGCCTCACATGAGCACGCAGATGTGACACAGCAGACATGCATGAGCTGTATTATCTTCAATGCACAAACCATATTTGCAGCATTGTCTGTAACGACTACAGGGTGTCTGCTGATCAATCCCTATTTGTTAATGTCTTCAGTCAACCTATTGGCTATATTTGCAGCTGTCTGGCTTGAAGTCACCTTAAGTGCTTCTTTCCTGCTCATTTGAATGTGAACGTCACGCGCATCACTATAAAACGAATCGATCTCATTCCCTAGACATTGATTTTGCAAAAATGTAAAAGGAATCAATTCAAAATCGATTAAATCGATTTTTTTTTACCCAGCCCTACAGAAGACTGATATTTTTCTTTAGTTTTTTTTTCCTAGTCAACATCTTCTGGATCTGCATTAATCCACAGCATGCATACAGTACCATGCACAAGTATTTATACCTCTTCTCATTTTTGGCAAATAGTAATATTTTTACCACAAACTTTGTAATTTTACATGATTCGCCGATACAGATTATTGCATTTGTTTTATTCAACCTACAGGGATACCTTTTTTTCTGTAGGAAAACCTTCAATAAACTTTGAAGGTTTATAGAAGAACATTAGTGGAAAAACATGATGAAGACTAAGAAATACATTTCAGGGATAAAATTCTGGAGTAATTTTAAGCATAATTAGGTTATTTATGAATATTTTTATATTTAAGCACCTTTATTATTATTTATTATTGCTTTTTGTCTTATTTGCTTTTCAACATGTGTCCTTTACAGTCTTTATTTGTGCATTTCTCCCACCTTGTATCCATTGCATGCAGCACTGCACAAATAAAATACATCTGCTGTGCTGGGTGTACCCACCCTGGTTTCAGTGGGACAAACCCTTTAGGTTTAGGTGGTGTGTTTTTATTCTCTGGATTAAAAATATGTAACCTATGCTCTATTTGGTATAGGCTTCACCCTTTAAGCTTATCATTAGTGGGTTAAAGAATGAGCAGAATTTAATCTACTGTGACCAAACATAGCTGCTAAGAGAAATAATCTGTGGCTGAGATGTTTATTGGTAGCTACTTCAGGGAATAATGATGATAAAAGTTTTGAACAACAAGGAAAACGCAATTTAGATGTTACTTAATTTAGCAAAACAAAGCTTAAATTGAGCATATTAGAGCTTTTTCTAAAACAGGCTGTCGGAAGGTCACCTGCTGGAGGTGAGCTGCAGTGAGGCTGTTGAAGAGGAGCTGGAAGCCACAGGCAGAGATGAGATGGTTCTCCTCAGCCTGGCGGACTGTTTGGCTGGACGGAGGAACCAGCCGGTTTTTCTTAAACGCTTCTTCCCAGCCGTCTGCCACGCTGTTCCTCTCCTCTGCTTTCACCATTTTATCTATCTGAAATTACTAGAGCCCAACGCCATACAATAAAACCCAGTGTTCCTAAAATTAACTACGGCTCGACTTTGAAAAGAAGATTTTTCCGTTTTCATTTAGATTTTCAAACAAGCAGCCGCCATATTGGAAACCGGGCTGTTGTATTATTTTTTAAAGGGGTAACGAAAAAAATATACGTTTAAAAAAATATATATATTATTATTAAAACAAATGTTCAACTTAAAATAAATAGGGTTGCTAATAAAATACAGAATATTATGCACTGACAGAGACAATTATCGTTAAATATATGTAGTTAGTAATAGTGTCGTGGATTAGTTTAAACCTCTGCGTTGGTATGCCCCAGATTGCTGCGTCAGTTGCCATGGGAACGTTCACCTACCTGAGGACAAAATTACGAGCGCATGTAGAGTACGCAAAAATACAAGACATCCATCCAAGAAATTACTAACGTAAAAAGTTCTTGGTGAAATGGCTCATCCAGTCCTGAATAACTGTTGGCTTGATTTAATGTTTAAAATTCTGTGATGTTCAAATTCAAGTATTTCAAGCAAACATAACACGATTTTAAAATTAGTCAATCGGGCAGAATAAATGCATTTCCAAGTAATTTATTTTTCTTTCTTTTTTTTAACAAACTTATAAAACCAGTAGGCTAGGATCTTGTACGTGGTGATGATATTAAAAAAGTAAAATAAATTAAATTGTGACCAAAATACCTATAAGTCCACAGTAATCTCCTGTTTTGTGTGAATAATAATGCAAAAATGCATACTACATAAATAAACATGCTCACATTGAGGTGTCGGAAACATGCACATACAAGTGCAATTTTATATTTACGCTCTATGCAGAACCACATCATGATTAATGTAGGAAAAACCAAGGAGCTAGTGGTGGATTTTGGCAGAAGCAGATCCACCCCACTGACACTGGTGAACATCCAGGGAACAGACATTGATATAGTGGATTCTTATAAGTACCTAGATTTTACCTGAATAACAAACTGGACTGGACTCACAACTCTGAGGCTCTGTATGAGGTCAAAGCAGACTCTTCCTGCTGAGGAGACCGAGGTCTTTAGGAGTGCATGGGGCTCTCCTAAAGACCTTTTATGACTCTGTTGTGGCATCAGCCATCTTCTATGGAGCTGTCTGTTGGAGCAGTGGCTTATCTGTAGCTGAGAGAAAGCAGCTGGATACGATGATCAGGAAGGCCAGCTCTGTGATTGGTTACCCTCTGCACTGTTAAAAAAGTAAATGGCAATTGTTGTTCTAACACACAATTGTATTGTAATCCGACTCAGAAATATAAATTTGACATCTAACAAATAAATACACGTTTGCCCAACTCAAATTCTCAGAAGTTGGTTTAACAAGGAGTTTTAAATCGCCTATACAAGATTTTTTGAGTTCCCTCAACTGTAAACTCATGGGCATGCGCACTGCTTATGTTCATGGACACGCCCACTACGGTACGGGGTTTCCTATCCCTTTCTTCAAGGGCACAGCCTTTTTCCCTCGTGTTTGAGAAGATTGGCGGACATTGTGATTTTATGCATCTGGAGAACCACGGAGGAACGACCCTGGGACCTTACCAGTTTTCCCGGTGAGTGCTGCAAAGTACAGACAGTTAGCGGTTAGCTCCGTGAGTTAGCATTCCCTTGTGGTGTATTGCCACCGAGTTGAAGCATGAGTTCACATGTTTTTCACGTTCTGATGAAAGGAAAAGCAGCGCACGTGCGCGTTTATAATGCGCGTGTGCGCGTCCGTGTTTATGCCGCGCATGTGCGGGTGAGTGTTTATGCATAGAGAAAAGAGTGTGCCTGTTATTTTCATTGTACAAATGAAAAGAGACATTAAGTTGAGTGTAATAACTTATTAAATTTCTAAATTGTTTTATGTAGTGCAGTGTTGTTGCACTCAGGCACAGAATATTACAAGACTACATTATTTTACTTTCTTAATCCGATGTGGGTATTTACTGTTATTTACATTATTTACATGTGGATTTTTTGCTTTCATGATTTTATTTGCTTTACAAGAAAAACAGTGACATTAACATTTTATATGTTAACCCTGTAATGCAGCAGTTAATTCGTAATGAGTTAGAAAAGTTACATTACACACTGAAATTTATCATACTTGGAGAGATATAAACTGTACAGTTAAGAACAAGAAGTGAATGGATTTAACTAAGCTCTGTTGTACTATGCAGGCTGGGTTTTTTGGATACCCTGGATTCTGGATTCTCTCCTTAAATGGAGATGGCGAGCCAACCGTGTGAACATCTGGATTTGGACTGAAGAGAAGGATTTGGACTGAAGAGGACTTTCTTTTTTTGCATTCATCGTCCTGTCGGAGTGGTAGGACTAAAAAGAAAAACTCAGAGATAAAAAGGGAAAACCTTTTTCTTTTTCCGTTGGGAAACAAGACATTTTATTTCATTTTATTTTTTTTAAAAGGGTGCACCCAATTTAAAGAGACTACAATTGAAAAAAACAAACTGAAGGCTGTCCAAATTTGTAAAACTGTTATTTTTTCATATACACTATATTGCCAAAAGTATTTGCTCACCCATCCAAATTATTGGAATCAGGTGTTCCAATCACTTCCATGGCCACAGGTGTATAAATTCAAGCACCTAGGCATGCAGACTGTTTTTACAAACATTTGTGAAAGAATGGGTCGCTCTCAGGAGCTCAGTGAATTCCAGCGTGGAACTGTGATAGGATGCCACCTGTGCAACAAATCCAGTCGTGAAATTTCCTCGCTCCTAAATATTCCACAGTCAACTGTCAGCTGTATTATAAGAAAATGGAAGTGTTTGGGAACGACAGCAACTCAGCCACGAAGTGGTAGGCCACGTAAACTGACGGAGCAGGGTCAGCGGATGCTGACGCGCATAGTGCAAAGAGGTCGCCAACTTTCTGCAGAGTCAATCACTACAGACCTCCAAACTTCATGTGGCCTTCAGATTAGCTCAAGAACAGTGCGCAGAGAGCTTCATGGAATGGGTTTCCATGGTCGAGCAGCTGCATCCAAGCCATACATCACCAAGTGCAATGCAAAGCGTCGGATGCGGTGGTGTAAAGCACGCCGCCACTGGACTCTAGAGCAGTGGAGACGCGTTCTCTGGAGTGACGAATCGCGCTTCTCCATCTGGCAATCTGATGGACGGGTCTGGGTTTGGCGGTTGCCAGGAGAACGGTACTTGTCTGACTGCATTGTGCCAAGTGTAAAGTTTGGTGGAGGGGGGATTATGGTGTGAGGTTGTTTTTCAGGAGCTGGGCTTGGCCCCTTAGTTCCAGTGAAAGGAACTCTGAATGCTTCAGCATACCAAGACATTTTGGACAATTCCATGCTCCCAACTTTGTGGGAACAGTTTGGAGCTGGCCCCTTCCTCTTCCAACATGACTGTGCACCAGTGCACAAAGCAAGGTCCATAAAGACATGGATGACAGAGTCTGGTGTGGATGAACTTGACTGGCCTGCACAGAGTCCTGACCTCAACCCGATAGAACACCTTTGGGATGAATTAGAGCGGAGACTGAGAGCCAGGCCTTCTCGTCCAACATCAGTGTGCGACCTCACAAATGCGCTTCTGGAAGAATGGTCAAAAATTCCCATAAACACACTCCTAAACCTTGTGGACAGCCTTCCCAGAAGAGTTGAAGCTGTTCTAGCTGCAAAGGGTGGACCGACGTCATATTGAACCCTATGGATTAGGAACGGGATGTCACTTAAGCTCATATGTGAGTCAAGGCAGGTGAGCAAATACTTTTGGCAATATAGTGTATGTTAATACACTTACTTCACAAAAAATTACCTGTGTGTTTTCCTCTTACTAAAATGGTGTCTTACTGTTTTTTCCCTCATCATCACTCTTACGAATCTAGAACATTCTGGTCCAGTGTCAGGTTACTTTGATCTGTGCAGTTAAGATTATGTTGTTGAACATGGTTTTATACTGTATCTATTGATGCAATGTTTGGCTTGAAGCAATAAAAATGTTGTATTAACATAATTTTTTGTGTGTTGAATGATTGGTAGTGAAGACGATTGGTAGGACTAAAAAAACTGAGTTGATAGAACTCAACTTGCAGATAACACTACAAAATCTGAGTTTGTAGAACTCAAAATCTATATGTCAAACTCATAAAACAAAGTTGATAGAACTCAGAACTTAAAGGTGAAACTCAAAAACCTAAGTTGGTAGAACTCAAAATTTCTATGTAACACTCCAAAAACCTAAGTTGGCAGAACTCAAAAATCTTTGTAAACTCAACCACAGTGAATTTAAGTAAGGAAAACTCAAAAAACCAAATGCATCACGTTGCCTAGAAAATGTAAGTTCTGTCAACCTCTATTTTTTTTTCAGTGTGGACTCAGTGCAGGAGGTGGAAAACAAAAGGATCCTAACTAAATTAACATCTCTGATGAATAATGTTTCCCACCCCATGCATGAAGCTGTTGCTGAACTGGAAACCTCCTTCAGTGACAGACTGCTGCACCCTAAATGCACCAGGAAACATCATCACAGATCCTTCCTCCCAGCTGTAAGACTTTATAACCATCACTGTTCCAACGACCTCAATAAATTGTTACATTCATGCTGATTTGCTGATTTTTTGTGTGTGCAGTTTTTGTCTTAGTCACTTAAATAACAAGCTGCTGTCATTTCATTTTTTTTTTTGCACATCTCTAGTGTTACCGCTATTTTTCACATACCCACTACCGTAAACATGTCCACAGCTGTTAATTGATTTTTTATTCTCTAGATACAGAGTACCATAGTGTAAAACATTGACAGTACAACACTCTTTTTGTTTTATTTTCCTATCTGTTATTTTAATACAGTTTTCTAAGGTGCACATTGTGTGACCACTTCTGCTGTAACCTTTGCTGCTGTAAACACCACAATTTTCATATTGTGGGACAATAAAGGCATTTTCTATTCTATTTTATATTCTATTAGGTGGCCTTAACTCAGAAAAATTACAAATAGTTAATTACTTGAAAAAATAGAAATAATAAATTGGGGTATATAAATATAATAGGACTTAGACTTTATTTGACATTTTGTACACACAAGAGTATACAAAAAGAAATTGCGTTCAGTACAGCTCTCAAGACATTTTCATTTTTTAAAGTGCAGCCTTGATAAAGGTAAGCAGCAGTGATAATGTAAACATAAGACCATATAGTTAAAGTTCCAACATTCAGGTTTTTTTTTTTTTATAACCCCATTTAATATAACGTTCAGCAGTCTAATGGCAGTGGGGAAAAAACTGTTCTGGAATCTGCTTGACCTGCATCAGATGCTTCGAAGCCTCTTTCCAGAGGGCAGCAGGGAGAACAGCCCATGTTGTGGGTGTGAGGGGTCATTTATAATGTTACAGGCTCTGGAACACGCAGCTCTGGGATGATATGTCTTGCCCTTTTGATCAGTGAGGTGGTGTTTACAGTCCAGTTGAGGTTGTCTGTGATGTGCACCCCCAGGAATTTGGTGCTGCTGATATATACAATAATATTATACATTTTAATATTAAAGTTTTAGGGGTATATTATATTATATTATACTCAAAAAACTTTGGCACATTATGGTCTTTAATATATATATCTTGGGCTGTTTTTCTCAGTTACTAATATACATGTAATATAATAGATAAGCAGTAGGGGGCAGCAAAACATTAACACCAGCGGGTCGGTTAAGAATCAAGAGGAAGACAAACAAAGGAAGCGGTACCTATAAACTGAAATGTTCGGACTCTTCGGGAAAATAAAACCTGTTAAAATTCGAGGTTGCAACGGGGACAGAAAATACGGAATAGCCGCGAAAGATGTAAAGGAGCTGATTAAAAAGGGCTGTAAGCTGTTGCAGGTGAGCCGTGTGTTTGTGGTTTTAAACAAAATTCGATCAGTTCCGGTTTTGGTTTGTTTTTTCCCCCGAGACATTGAATATGAGATAAAACCAATTAAAAGCGAAGCACGATTAAGAGTGACATAAAACTTTATTTTAGTCATTTTAATATTCACTAGATAACAGAGACGAAATAATTATCTAACGAAAACTGTTAGCGTCTCAGTTTTATAGAGTTCTGCCATCATTATCATTTGATTTAGGTTTTAAAGCAGAGAAACATCTGGACTATTCAGAATACCTGATTACTTTATTATTTCTACTATATTATTATTTCTATTATATGAGAAAATGCATTAAATATTTGGTTAATTCGGCTTTTTAGACAACTATAGTAAATGCCTGTTTCCAATAAGTTGTTGCACCTGTTTGTCATAGATATAATGAATACAGATCCATCCATAGTAAAGTATAGATTTGTATTTGCAGATATTTTAAGTCTTTTTGGTATATAGCTGATCAGATTTATGTATTTGTGTAATTGAGGTTAAATGACATGTGCTGTGACCCTGTAATATTGTTCTCCACCATGCAGCTGCCACTTCCTGATGCTCACATCTGCTTATATGAAGATGGGACGATAGTGACAGAGGAGTTCTTCCCCACGCTGCCAGATAACTGCGAACTAGTTCTTTTGTCCAAGGATCAGACATGGAGTGGAGGTACATTCAAATAAAAACATGCTTGTCCTTGATATCAGCTGAAATGCCCTGGTTGGGTCATCGTCCATTGAGCCCTTTTGTTTCTGCCTTGTAGTTCTTTGTGACATCGGTCAGTTACTGAGCTCTGATCGCCACGGCGACGCCGTCATCGAGGCAGCGAAGGGTCTGCTCTCTGATGAGAAGTCTTTCAAAAGGCGTAAAGTCCTTACAGACCTACTGCAGAACTTGGAGGACAGATCTGATCTGGAGAGCAGAGAGGAAGATGAAGATTGGTTTAATGGTACGGTCCAAATGATCTTGGAACTATTAACCGCTTGATTCCTTTCCCGTTGCACTAAGTTAAATAAATCAGTCACATAGACTGTTGCCATAGTCTTATGCTCAGTCTTTGACGGCACAGGTGAGCCGCAGCTCTAAGATTTCAAAGTTGCAACTTAAGAATCCTCCCTAATATTTCTTCATAGGTAGAAGTTTTGAACATTTTCAGCCTATGCTTTAAGGAAACCCCTTTAAAACTTAACATTAGCCAGCTTTAATGTGTGTTAAGGTTCATTGTCTGGTAGAAACACGTAATTTTTACACATTTTACACCATCAGACTCAGATTATCTTATTTAAATGAGAGGAATAATTCAGGATGTCCAAGAATTTACACCAAGCAATCAGCAAGTCTCAAGCTTATGATTAACTGAAATTTGCTGCTGTCTGCAAGTATTTTCTCGAGGAAAGTGTCATGGTAAAACATAATAGGTAAACAATAGTTGGAAAGCTGTCTTTAAAGGACTTACTGACTATTCAGTAGTTGCAACAAGGTCAATTTTTGTTTTTGCGACTGTCGATTCTGGTTGTGAGGATATAGTAAATGAACTAACAAAGATGGAGTTTTAATGGCTCCAAATCCTTTCTGCTTCACCATAGATAAGGTGGACTATTTAATCTGGTACCAATGTGGTTGTTCCTACAGAACATTGATCCCAAACATGCATCAGAACCATAATGGATGGATCCAGGTTGTTTGAGGCTTGTAGAAAAAGGACCTCAATGCTTGAATTTCAAAAACTGGGTCATTTCCAGGTAAAGAACCAGAAAAAAAAAAAAGTCCAGGTATTCTGGCTGAATAATAAAAGGAGAATATGAGTCTGTCATATTTTACCAGTGGATAAAACAAAAATACAAATTCAGTTTTATTTATTTTAACAATGTTTTTTATTTTTCAATCATTACATACTACCAAAATGATCTTGATCAAACGTTTTGGCGCTCAATAATAGACTAAGACCTATTCAGACCCATCTGCTTCATCTTTTGCCTGTTCTTAGAAAGACATGTTTGGCAAATTCATTGGGGTTTTGAAAATAGCAAGCTATTATTAAATATTTACCTTTATTTTTACCTTCTGGATGAAAGACTGACTCCATAAAGCGGTGGAACCCGAACAATCCTTTGATATTTGGTGATTTTTTTTTTTTGGTTCTATTCCAGGTGTTGATTCTCGGTTTAAAACAAAGTCTGCCTACATGAAGTTCAACTGTGAAAGCAGAATACGAGGCTACATGAAAGAGGTAAACCTCAGAGGTCGGGCGAGACTTGGAACCATGTTTGGCTGCAAGAATCCTCCAAACCGTATCCATCTCCTGTCTGTTTTTAGGTGGATGGTGCAACACAAAGCATCCAGAAAGCAAAAGTGAGGGCGGAGTTTTTAAAAACATCAAAGTGTCTGGGTGAGATGCTGAAAGAGGACAAATACAACGGCAAATACTTTGACAGGACTGAGAAGGAGTCTGGACGTCTCTGCACTAAAGAAGGATGGTTCACCTGTCAGGTAGGGCAGAATCTGAGAGGCTGCTTATAGCTGGATGACATCAGCAGCAAAAAATACGTTCAAGAAAAACAGTCCGCTCACAACTGAATAAAATGAGACTTCTTCTTCTGTGGTGTCTACAGGGATCGTTTGATCAGAAACTGTGCCAGTCGCTCCATTCCATCAACCCGTACGGCAGCAGAGAGAGCAGGATCGTCTTCAGCACTTGGAATCTTGATCACAGGTGCGATGCTTCCTGAAGCTGCTGTAACTTAGAATAATAAAGTATAAAGCTTGTTTTTTTGTTTTTGTTATCAATCTGCAGGATTGAAAAGAAGAGGGCAATCATACCCGCCCTGCTGGACGCGCTGCAGAATCACAAAACCACAGACATAAACTTGAACTACTTTTACCAAATGCTGTTCACCAGGGAAAACCTGAAGTTAGTCCACATCGCCTGTCACAAAAAAGGAGCTCACAACCTGCAGTGTGACAACAAAAAGATGTTTAGGACGGCCAAAAACACAAAAGAAGCTAAAGCCACCAAAGGGAGGAAAAGACGCCTAAACTAAATGTTTATTATTTATTTTTTTTAATACATTTTTTGTTTTATTATCGAAGTTTGGAAATTGTAAAAGAACAGAAAACCAGCGTTTTGTAAATCATGAAAAACTTTTATTGTATTATGTGGCACAATCATGTCAAATATATGGATGGATTAATATGACATTCAATCAGTCAGAATTAAACACTTAAGACAAATGTGTTAATTATTTTACATAAATAAGGCAGTAAATCACAAACATGTTTCTGAGTGGTCAGATCAATTAGCTATATACAAAACCCATCTGTGGGTTTAGATCTAGTGCAACTGCTGTTAACCTTCTTAGGTTATGTTTCTGAATCAAGTTTGTTCAAATTCAATTGCTTTAAACTGCAGATTCTTAGGCAGAAAAATCAAAATGTTACTTTTTTTATAAGTATAAAGAGCAGAGATATGTGTGTGGGTATGTATATAAATTAGGGCTGGGCGATTATGGCCTAAAAATAAAATCTTAGTTTTTCCCTCCCTAGTTATTAAGGAAAATGATCAATACAAACGTAGCTCCCTGCTATGGCTACGCACAGAGCGGCCCTGCTCCTTTCCTGTCACATGCGGTGCTTTGCGCAGAATACTGGGCTACATTTAGCTGATTCTTAGCTGAGGTTTGTTGGTTAGTGCGGGTTTGTTCATCCCGGAAAAACAAAGTTTAGTGGTGCTGTTCCTGCATTTAAATGAGATAAACGTTCTTTTGTTTTGGGGTCTTTTGCTCCACGTCTGTCTCAGCAAACCCAGACCAGTTTCAGGGATTAAAAGTGAAAAAAAAAATCCTGTGCCTGAAGTTGCTGCTCACCATCCCATCCCCAAAACCCCCTTGTTGCTACCCGATCCGTACCATCAGCTCATTTGTGCATGTGCAAGCAGATATTCACCCAGGTCGCCATAAATAATGCAATCATGGTACTAAAGGTACTTATTTCTATCCTTACATCACTAAAGAATGCTACACTACATTTAATGAGATAATTTGATGAATTTTACATTGTCTCCATTAAACTGCTTATCTGATATCATTGGTCATGTTCAGAGCAGTCCAGCAAAATATGATTAAACCGTCTTTATCCGCATGTTAGTTTATTACTTTAGATTGAGCACTACGTACCATAAGGTGAACATGAAAGTAAAACATTTTGAAAGGCTTTGCATCAAAAAATACTGCACAAAATTAAGGCAATGGGTGCAATTCAAAACCTCGGCTCCAGAGTGTCGATGTCCGCAGACACTCCGCTGCACCTCTCCGAAATTGTACTCATACTTGTTTTGTTTTTATGACTGAAATTGCGGAAAACAACTCGTGAAGTTTGACCAGCTAGAAGATCGAGGTACACTAAAACACAGGGACCCTTTTCCAACTGTATCTCCGCTCTTTTTGGCCCTCATGTCCCTCCGTTGTCGGACTAAACTCGCCCCCACTTCCTCACCACCTTGGCCGTATCTAGACCCACCGCATGTAGCGCAGACCACGCTTCAATATTGAGCATAAATCAAAAATGTCTGTGTCAAGCTTACTGCAACACACTGCTGTAAGAGTATAACCATGAAGCGCGGTAGGAGGGCAAAATAGGTTTAGCGCCACCGCAGCACGGGAGAATTACGTCCAGGAGCAAATGGATAAAAATAGACCGGAGGAGAAAAAAAAAAACATGAATCGATACTCTAGCGGACGTACTGATGCATCGGATCGTCGGCTGTTGGATCGATACAAAACTATTATTATTTACACTCCTAACCCGGATGTATATCTGGTTGCGTATGTGCAAATGAGCTGATGGTAGGGATGGTGCTTCCGGGACGGATCGGGTATGGCAGCCTGAGAGCGGGCTGGGGGGCACGTCACTACCTCAAGTAGTGACGCGTTCTGATAAGCGCTTAACGATACCTCATCATAGCAGTCACAGTTATCACTGGTGTTTCTATGAAACTTATGTTGAAAAGTTTATTTTACCTTCCCGAAAAAGAAAAAAAAAAATCCCCACCCTCAGTTGCCAGATGCCAGAAATCCGCCACTACGCCAGAGAACCTTAAGCCCTGCAGTTCCCAACAACAGAAGATTTTACTCCTTTTTTGAGAACAAATTTCTCACTAACCTGTAGCTATGATGTCGATTACTGGTTCGTGTGACGTTCTCGCAAGCCAAACTGCAACCTGAGTAATACTGCAGCTACAGAAACTCTGGGGAGCCAAAAGTATGCAGTTATAAAAAATAAAAAAATATTTATTATTTTTTTTTAAATCACCCACAAAGTAAAAAAAAAAAAATCAAATTAGTTAATTGAATTGATTTTTTTTGCCCAGGCCTAAAATAAATATATATATACACATATACATACACAGACATTACATTATGAAGCTGCCAAAAACCTTTATGGATTTTAGACACTTGGTGAAAAAATGGCTGGAATATGACATTCATTATGATGAGCTTATAAACCGATCGGATCTAGGTAGTTATATTCATCAAACACCTTTAACTTGGTTCAAACTTTGTCTATAAACTAACAGGTAGAAACACGAGAACCCCAACATTTTTCTGTTTAATTCAGCAATATTTTGGCATCTCAGCCTGTGATGTTAAATCAGTTGGATATTTTATGATCTAATACAGGAAATCAGCACAGAGTGCAGCTATGTATCCAGCTGCCATGCAGAAAGCTAAAGGAGGGATTTGTCTTTGTTTTTATTCCCTGGATTCAATCTGTGCAACTTTTAAGTGCTGTTAGATTTATTCAAATCAGTACGTCGCACTGGAGCCAGGAAAAGAAAAATAGAGATGCATCAAGAAATGAGCGCAATAAAGGGATTTTAAAGTTTGACTGACAGTGAACACTGATCTATGTTTTTCCTCCTATGTTCCCTTCAGGCTGGAACCTGCTGCTGAATTCAAACATTTAAATGTGGTCGGAGACAGAACCACCAGATAAAATGTCCATTTAATTGCTATTAATTAAAGAAAATATCTGAATCGGCTACAATCTGTATCACTGGGTCAGAATTTTACAAACACTAGAAATCAGGGACTTCCTAATGTTGCTGTATTCTGAAAGGTTCTTTGTTCTTTTATCAAATCTCTCCTTAAGTGCCACTAAGACAAACGGGCAATAACTTAGGATGGATCAATGAGAGTATATGTTAATATATACTTTTTAAAAAGCACTTGAGTGTTTGCTTCTAGCTGAAGTTTCTTTTAAAGTTGTTATTTTGGCTTCTGAGATAGTTTACGGCATCAGAGCAGACGGTTTGGCACGGCTAAAAACCGTTAAAATTTTTGATTCTGAGAGCCAGCTCCACTCTACCTCCTTCATTGTGGACGGGGAGATTTGGACGGATGAAGAGAACCGACTGGATGCAGTGTCTGAGCAGGTAGCTTGTTGCTTTCTCCAAAGTGCTGGGATGGTGCTCTGTTTCCATTGACTAAGTGCCAGCCCCCTGCTCTGGTTGAAGGCTCGCCTCGCCATCTTCACTGTCCTCCTGTGCGTAGAAGTGCCGGCTCCTCTCCTTCCTGCGGGCGCTGGGAGACGTAGCGGGTGATCTCTGAGGAAAGTCCTGCAGGAACAGAGATTCATGCCACAATTCCATCATCTGTATTAATGTTAGGGTTGTCAAGATACTAAACTTTTCAACTCGATACCGATACCAAGTAAAATATTCGATACTCGATACCCTTTTCGATACCTCAAGGATAAAAACAAAGACTCCAAAATTCAACAGAAATATTTTCATTAATAAAAAAATCCAATAAATAAATAAAAAACAATAAGAACAATATTTTGAGGTTGTATGCTGTGCACAATATTAAGCAAGCTTGATAAAAAACTTACAAAATTAAAATTAAGTGTTCCTTTCCTGGCTATGTTTTGCAGACATAACAATGACACTGGCCAAACCAGTTAAGAAGCAAAAATAATTCTCAGCAGCTGCACCTGTTACAAAAAAAGTCTGAAACTGAAAAGTACACAGAATTATTCAATCACACAGTGTTCAGAAAGTATATTTTCCATTATTGTGCATATTAGATGGCTGTATCGATACTTTTGAAAATGAGTATCGTATCCCGATACAACGTTTCAGTAACGATACTTTTTTGAGTATCGATACTTTTGACAAGCCTAATTAATGTTCATCAAAAATATAAAATTTTTCTGTTTATTCATTACTGTAAAACAACCTGTTTAAATCCAATGTGAAATTTATAGAGGAAAGTAATCAGAGAGCTGAAAGGTAGAATAAAACTAAACTGCAGGGGATTCAAAGACAAGGAAGTTTACAGAAGGAAAAGTTTAGAGGTCATTATTAATGTAGCTGCATAGAGGCAGCTGATGGGCTCTGAATCGATGCCAGCCATGTTTTCAGCTAATTAAATTAGATTTTAGGTTTTTAAACCCTCATTGAGTTCTGTGTTTAGCAGCTCATTAGAATTCACAGTCCTGGCAAAGGCAAAACAAGCTAAATAAATGGGATTCCTGCAATGAACAGAGTTAAAAAGACTAAATATCATGAGATTATCTCCACAATGAAACCATTGTCTTGTTCTTCAGTAACTTAAGCAAATTATATTTAGCTTTTCTGTTCTTCAGCTCTTGTGACTCGAGTTTATTATTAGCCAGAAAAGGAATGAGTGATTTCTCAACATATGAAAAACAAAAAAAATGGAAAAGAATCAGGATTCAATTAAAAAAATAAACAAATTTAAGACTTAAAAACATACATTTAAGAGCGTATGAAAAATTGTGGTCAACTAATTTTTTAACTGATTAGTTTGAGTCTGATATGGGATGTTTTTGTGACCAAACAAGCCCCTACAAAACAAAATAAACAGATTAACAGTTAAATGGAACACTATAGCGAACCCAGATATGGAGCCCTTTATATTTCACTTATAATTACTTCCAACATTTTCAGCTCATTGAGAAGGCCAGGACTCCTCACCTGCACGATATCCAGGTTTCCAAAGAACTGCTCCACAGGAAGGATCTGATTACTGTCATCATCTTGGAACAGCATCCGACTATTGTTGTCAGAATCCATACGCTCAGAAGGCTGTTCCTCCAGGAAGCTGTTAGCTTTGCAGCTGCTGACCTCCTGCTCCGACTTCAGCTCGTTTTCTTTACCCTCCTGACCTTCCAGCTCCGGTGAACCTGAGCACCTCCTCCTGTCGGCGGCCTCCAGGCACTCACAGCTGATATAAGACAGTATATCAGTCGATTTTGAAGACTTAAGTGCTGAACTTTCCTCTTCTGATGAGAGCAGCTTCTGGCTTTTAAGATTTTTCCTCCCTGTCGCAGAAACCTGTGGTGCACAAATGGAGGAATGAGGCAGATGACCTACTAAGCAGTTACACCAGTCTGGTTTAGCAGGAAATGCAGAAACAAAATGTACTTTTTAAGAAAATAAAATTAAGAGGAAACTGATCTGTAAAGATGTGCAAAGCAAACCTTTGTAGAGCCTCTGACCTCAGATCGTCTCTTCCTCTTTCTAGGCTTTGGGTTGCCAAGTGGACCAGGCATCTAGGGAAAAAAACAAAAACACAGGTTGCTCATTTCCCCAAAGACAACATTTCATTACAGCAACTACTTATTAAAGGGTTTGGCTTCGGTAAGCTGAGCTGCAGCTGTTGTAACACTAGCACATCCCTGAGAGCTGCAGCTACTGAGCTAAACGATTTCGCCAAGCCTCCCTAGCAGTCCATATTGGGCATTTTTCACAACCTATCATTCTAGTGATGCAGTAATCAAAGAAACACAGCAGGAGGACTATAGAGTGGCCTGTTCAGCAAAACTACCGGCAGGTTTTAAACAGTTTAACATTTATGTCAGAGGTTTAGTTTATGGACCGAGTTTGGCTTCAGATTAGAAAGCAGCCAGCACACGTGATGGATAGGGGCCTCTCCTCTCCTCTCCTCTCAGGTCAAGATCCGCACGTGCAATCACACCAAACAGGAAAAAGAACGGCGAGAAGATCCAGTTTGTCAAATTAAAACATGGTAACGAAAGATCGGTAACTAAAAATTAGAGCATAATTCTTATATATTCCCCAAAACTAAGAGCATTTCATTAAATGATGGGATTCAGGCTATTGGTAGTTCCTCATACCAGGAAGCAGATTTCCCATCTCCATCAAATTATTTGTTTCATATCGAGAGGCTTAAAAGTTTCATCAAATCCATTCAGAAGTTCTAAGAGCAAATCTCACAACTTCAAAATAAACCTCTTAAAGTGGACATGGATGAAGAAAAGCTGAGTTTGGAAGTAGAGAATAAACATAGTTCATACAAAACATGATGCTAGTTATCCACAATAAAAAGAAAATATTTGGGCAGAAACTGAACATATGCTGGATGCTGATTTTTTTAATATGTCAAATAAAATTAAGCGTTAATTTCCTCATGTTTTGCTACTTTGAATTTAATAATATCAGGCATGCTCCCCTCAAACTCTGAAGAAGTCGTAGCGGAGCAAGAGGGGAGGAACAGCGGAGGCTTTGCTTTAATCAGACGGTCTGGAGTTCAGCGTGGCGGTGACAGAGGATGTGGGATTTCAGGGTCAGGGACCGACTACTCTCAACATCTTCACAATGTTAACTGATTGAGTCACGTCTTCTCCCAGCAACCAAGTCAATATGGAAGATAAGACCTGATTCCAGCTCTGAATATTGCTCTCGGAGCACGTTTACATTTTTAAGATGGCCCCTGTTCCTCTGAGATAAAAACAGAGCGAGATAGTTAGCGGCACGTCCGAACTGCACGCCAGAAATGCTTCAATTGTACCAACTAATACTTTGTCTAGGAGATTCCTGAAACAACCTGGGAATCAAATCTCTCTTTTTTTGTTTTGTTTACATAAAGATGAGCAACTCTTAAACCCATAGTAAGACAGAAAGTGAAACTTTGAGGGAAACAGACTTCAGTTTCGATACTTCATGATGCCAAAGGTTTGGCTTTAACTAGATCTACTTTCAGTCTGCATCTCATTGCTGCTACAGGATGATCTGCGGTCAAAACAGAAAACAGAGTTTAGAGTAGATGTTTCCAAACCAGTGGAATAACACGGCGATGAACTCTGGTTTGTTTGTGTTAAGAGGCTCCAGATGATCGCAACAGTGGTCTGTTTCTGGTGCGACGGTGACCTCACCTCCATCTGACACATCTACCAGATTGAAATGCCTTCCCTCCCATAGTCTGATGGACAAAAGTCACATTTCAGGATGTGATAAATAAAGGCTGAGCGTTTTTTGTTTGTTTTTTTTCATTGCCATGCAGCTTTCAAGATGTCTTCTCCAAAACAATCGGTGGGGCAGAACCGAACAGAACTGAAAGCATACACTACAAAAAATAAAATACAAGTGAAAACCTTTTTAAAAAGGTTTACTTTCCCTTAATTTAAGCTGGTAGGTCAGACAATTTACTATAAAATACACTTATTTACATTAAAATGAGGGAAAAAACTCCACTGACTTATTTCAAGTAGACAATATGCAATTGTATTATTCTAAGGGCAAAAATACTGATTCCTTTGGGAGATCCTTATATTTACCTGCTCTGTTAGGATGTTTGTAAATCAAATGCTCTTATTTTAACAACTTTTTTTTTTTCTGTGTTTTACCAAAACAATTGTTTATGATGTATAAGTAGACAGAATAGACTGCATTGCAAAAAGTGTCCATTTAACCAATTCTTACAATATTAGATCTTCAAAAAAAGAGTTTTTAATCTCGTCTTGAGATTGATTAACTTCTTGTTAAAAAATATATGTTTTGCATTTGTTGTGAGCAGGTTCTTAAAAGAAGATTAATAATCTAACAGTCTCCTCTTGCTTAGTGTATCGATCTGATAACAAAATCAAAAAGATTTTTCTGCTAGAGCCTGGTTAGGTGGAAAAGTTTCAGTTTGTTACTAATTATTAATTACCTTTACAATTTATCTAATTATTTGACTCTGAAACTAAGACTGTGGCTAAGTTAAAATACTTTTGTTTTTCTTTTTTAATAGTATCTCATCCTGGCCTTCCCGGTAAATTTAATTTAACCGCCACTGTACAAAATCCTTATGTTAACCTGTAAGAAACATGAACATACTTTATATTCCTGTAGTTTCTAGTGATTTAGTCAAAAATAAACAAAGACATGAAAACGTCCAGATGTTAATTAGGGGCACACTTGGAAATAAAGAGTTTTCCAATATAATTCAAGCTAAAACATTAGTCTAATCATAAACAAAATTAGTCAACACAGTAAAAAAAAAAAAAAAAACACAAAAAAAAGTCTAGTTTTAGTGGAAAATATTAAATTTTTCTATATAGATAAATATATTTTAGAGTCATTTCAACAGCTGTTAGGTTTGAAAATTACAGTTTGTTGAAAAAAAAAAAGAAAATCTCACAAAAATATCATAGTACGACAATTAAAAAATATGCTGTATTATCAAATAAATTAACATTGCTGTGTGTTGTTTTTATTCTTGTTTTATATTGAGTATATTTAATGTCTGCATTAATTATACCATATATGTATATTCTTCATAAGACTTTAAAACATCACTGTTCCCAACAACCTCAATAAGTTTTGCAGTTTCTATCTTAATTAATTAAATACTATGCTTCTGTCATTTTGCACATCTCTGATGCTGCTGCTATTTTAAATATTCAGCTTTATATTGGTTATTTATTTTCCAGTTTTTATATTGTTAAAACACTTTACAGTATTTTATTGTTTATCTTTTAACTCTTCACTATTATGTCTTTCTTTTACTTTTTTCTAAGGTCCATATTTATGTGACCTTTTTTTTTTTTTTTTTTTTGCTGTAAACACCAGAATTTCTCCATTTTGGGACAATAAAGGGATTTTCTATTCTATTCTCTATATATAGTTGCAGTCACAATGATCTGAAGTAAAGAATAAAATTATATATCGGAAGTCAGTGGTTAATATATAAATGAATTGTAGGTTTATTTTTAAATTGTAAATGTAGTGTTTTACTTTGTATTAAGCTTTAAAATCTCCGATAATAACCACCGCAACAGGATTGCTGAAGAAAGGACAGAGCTAGCTAGTAGAGGTGAATATATAAACAACAGATTTTATCTACATATTTAAAGAACCAGCCCTGTAATTCCTCTTTAAGGAAAAGCAAAAGTCTAGCCGGCTTTTTTTCAAATCAGGTATCAAATTACAAAACAAGCACGTTTCCAGTCCTCCTAAAAATGCCGAACATTTTTTCCATCGAGACACATTTGTCCAAAAAAAAAAAAAAAAAAAAAAAACCGTTGCTAACTTAGCTTTCCACCATATTTCTTTCACTTTAGCGAAACAAATATGGATTAATTACACTAATGTGTCGCTGAGGCGTAACAACACGCGCCCAAAAGCTGCGTTATTCCTCTGAGACACAAAGACGACAGCTAAAAGACCTCCATTTAAACAAATAACACGGTGTCACCGCTTCCCTCCATTAGCTACGCTTCTACCTTATGCATCGCTCGCCGCCGCCGGTGTTATTTGGAGTCCAGATATTTGGCTCTTTGTTAGCTTTGGGTTGAAATGCCAGCTTTTCACCGGTGGAAACTGGACGAGCTCCGCCGCTGCCTGCGCCTGTCTGTCTGAGTGTCAAACCACCGACGCCTTCTCCGCGTATTTCCTGCTGCCTGCCAGGTTCAGGCTTCTTCTTCTTCTTCTTATGGGATTTTATGGCGGTTGGCAGACTTGTGAATTGTGCATTACCGCCACCAACTGATATGGAGTAAAGCAAGAAAACAGGAAACGATTCACCCCCCCAAAAAAAAAAAAAAAAAAAAAAAAAAAAAAAAACCTGTGTAACTTAAACCAACATAATACTAAATCACATTTGCCCATATAATTTTAATTTACTCTAGGTCATCTTAACTCTGCCAGTTTCTGATGGTCCCATCGGTCCTCCCATCATACTTCCAACCATCTCCCAGTTCAAATCTTTAATGTCCAGATATTTTTCTGCAGCCTTCACTATTATTTTGATTTTTTCCGTTTTTTTTGTTGTCTGTGCAGTACAATTAATAACTTCTACCATGAAAAGAACAAAATTTGTCTTTTTAACAATAAGTGAGTCTTCATCAATTTTTAGAGATTTCTCTAGAGGTTTGGAATTTGCTGTGTGTTGAACTGTAGGTTTGGGTTTTTCTGACTGAGATGGGATCCTTTTTGCAGCTTCAGCGTAGGTTATTCCGAGCTCAAATTTCATTTTTTTAATTTCCTCAGACCTTTTGCTTGCTTCACAGCCGCGATAGGCAGCAGTATGTTCTCCACCACAATTACAGCATTTTATTTTAGCTTCTTTTCCACATTTTCCGTACTCATGTTCTCCTGCACACCTTCCACACCTCTGTTTCCCTTTACAAACTGCTGCAATGTGACCGAATTTTTGGCATTTGAAACATCTCAATGGTGGAGGATTGTAGATTTTGACATTATAGCTTATGTAACCGATGAATACTTTGCTTGGTAATTGCTCTTCTTCGAATTTAATTAGCACAGATAAACTGTCAGATCTTTCTCCGTTTCTTGTTGTTTTTAACCGTTTTACTTCTTTTACTTTTGCACCTCTTATGTTTTCCAGAATCTCTTTTTCAGAAATTTTTAGAGGAACTCCTCCAATGACTCCCCTGCTGAACTTTTTGTTCTCCATTAAGCTGCACTGAACTCTTATCCCGTCAATTTTGTTGATCCGTATTGCTTTGCCTTGCTGGGCGCTGTCTCTGCAGATAATTAGCAGGTCTCCACTGTACAGAATTCTGGCACCTCTGACTTCTCCGACAAGTTTATTGATGGTTTTTGTTAAGTGAACCGGATTCCAATTTGTAAAAGAGTCTGCCTGATTAACGACTTTGAATATGACTTTGAATTCATTTTGTTGTGCTGTGGAATGTATGGAATGATCATCACTGGATTGTTCTGAACTAGATTCCCCTTGAACTGATCTCTGTTTTTTCCGCTTTTTCTCATTTTTTGATGTTGCTATCTTCCAACCTTCATTGTCACTATTTCCCTCTTCCATCCCACAAGAATCGCTTCCTGTTTCCTCACTACTCACGGCCCAAGACATTTCTCCATAAGCAGCTTCAAAACACGCGCCATGCACCAAACGACCATCCACATGCAATCTTTCCCCTTCCTCAATGTTGACAGCTGCGCGAGGCTTTGGCCCAGGTTCAGGCTGAGGTCACTGCGTCTCTTTTTTAGCGTACTCTTAGGCTATGTTCCAATTCTTCGCTCACTCACTACGTAGCGCACTACGTAGAGTTTGCATTTCTCTATTACTTTGAGTCGGATAGATAGGAAAATACCAGTAAATGCTAACTTAGTGTGCATTTCTAACCGCTTTAAGCAACAATAATAAGGTTTTTTTTACAATTAAAAATGTTTGGAACGCGGCATTCGTCTCTTTGAACGTAGTGGACGCCACTGACGTAAATATGATTTTTAGCGTTGCGGATACGCTACGTAAATATAACAAACAGCTTTGTGAATAAAACGGAGCGGTAGGGTTGCCTCTTTTCGATAATAAAAACTATAATATTTGTTGTAAATGCGCATCACGTGGCTCTAAAACCTTACGAGTTGCGTTAAAAATGTAACATAAACGAAATTTTATCATTTAATTTCATAAGTAAACTTTTTCTTCTTGTCTTTATGTAAGCCAAACATCTGAAAAAGTTGCAGGTTGGTATCTTCCTCTTTATTAAAAGTGTTTTTTGTTAAAGTTTCAGCTGTGGAGGTAATGGGTGACGTGGGTGGTAATATGAGAACAAGTATGGCAAGCCGTTTTAACATAAATTCGGTTTCGTCTGACTATCCATAATTACGTTCCAGATATCTTAAAATACTTTTTGACTAGACAAAACCACATTTTGACTATCCGGAACAGTAATTTAAGATATCTCTATTTACAATCTGATTAGGAATAATAATAATTCAAGATATCTTCAATCACATTTTGACTAGTCAAAATTCCTTTCAAGATATCTCAAATTACGTCACCGGATTCCTCATTTAAAGCATCACACATCGGTAATTATAATTTAAGATATCTCGAACGTAATTATGCCTAGTCAGTATTACAATTTTAGATATCTGAAGTAAGAGATTGCGTGTAAGCCTCTTATTGGCTGTACTAAGCTGTTCAAACAATTGCCTGAAGATTCAATGGTGCTGGCAGTTTTGGACAAAATTGTGAGAAAATGCCACAATATCGAAAGAGTTTTTCATTCTGGGTTATGTGGAGAGCGAGAAAAAAAGCATTCTTGAAGAATGCTTGCGGAATTTGCAAAGAATTTCTGATCAACTTTCTGCCGACACACACAACGCGCTTAAAACAGCTTAGAGGAGCTGAAAGTGTTAATATCGACCCATGTCCGATCTGAAACAATGAATATTCCGCAGCCCGGGCCGGTTCAGGTAATAACCAGATGCAGTTTTTAATACTGTGGTAAAGCTTTCTGCCTCTTCGGAAATTATAGTAAAGCCAACTAGCTTTTGATTTTGACTTGCTAGACGGCACAAAGCATTACAGCACCCTCCTTCAGCTCCTCTGAAAATAAAAGCGCACCTCCGCTTCATGTCTGATTCACACTTAGATTTTCTTTCTTTTTTTTTTTTTTTATTGAAAAACAAATTCAAAATACTATTTCAAACAGCAGAAAAGTACAATTGAACAGATGCAATCCATAATGGTTTTTATAAGATAAAAAACTATAAACTTAAACAGACCAAAAATTTTAAAGAATCAAAAGGAAAAAATTGAAAAAAAGAAAAACAAAATAAAACAAGTAACACAGGGGTTTAGCTAAAGTATACTGCTATAAAATCTGAAGACCTGAAGGATTCTTTATTTTACAGTAACTTAAGTCATGAAAACGTTTTGCTTGGAAATTGGGAGACATTTTAAAGAATCTTCACTTGTGAATAAATCATTTTCCAATAATGAATATAATATTACATTAAAACACTTTTAGTAAGCTTGAAAAAATTCCTCTCCAGGTTATCATTCCAAAGTAGTCTTTTTCTGTAGAATTTCATCAATCCATCCAGTTCATGAAACACTCCTTTTTTCTAGCTTTAAAGAAACACTACAGAAAATAGCATCTGTTGACACAAATTGTTTTCCTCCACTTTAGGAATGCAAAGATCCAGGGACAGAGCAGGGGGTCAGTGGGAACCCTACTGCTGAGGCTGAGCAGCATCAGGGTGAAGAGAATGAGGATGAGAGAGGAGGGAAAGGAGGAAGAGAAGAAGGAGAGGCGAGATGGTTGACTTAATGAGGGAGGATATCAGATGGCAGAGGGAGGAGGGAAAGGATGGACAGATTATTTAATTTATTGGAGAGGATGGTGGACAGATGTTGATTTTTTGTTTTGTTTTGTCTTTTACAAGTTGAGGTTCTGTGTTGCTGTTATTGTTAAATTAAATTATTAAATTGTTTATAAAAGTTATTGTTGTCGGTGTGTCTTTTAAACTTTTTACATTATCTGTTTCATCACTTCTTTACAATTTAACCCCTTGAACCCACCACCGGTGGGTCCAGCTGCTACGTGACCTCGTAATTTTAACAAAGCCCCAGTATTGATGTAAAAAACACATTTGGCACAGTTTGGTGACATTTTTGGATAAATGTGCCAAAATGGCCTCTCCGCCTAAGAAATTTCTCACTAATACCATTCTAAAATAAATATGATTCATCTGATTGAGTCCAAATTTGGTATATTTTTACACAACATTTAGATTTAAAAGTCTGTACTACTTTTTTGTGCTATAAATAATATTTTGGTAGTGTTTTGCAATGTTTATTTCAAAGAAAATTTTGGCGAGGTTCAAAAAATGCAAAATATTTTGTCCCTAATATTTCAGGCAGGGTCAAAGCTACAATGGTGCTGACGCCAGAAAACCATTCTATGACATCTTACCTTTACAGACGTAAAGGTAGCTTTGAGGCTATAAGTTATTTACTTTTGTGTGTTTTTGTCAGGCGGAAATGTATTTATTCCCCCCGAGGGTGTAAGAAGTTAAGTAAATTTAGAACAACTTCTCAGTGACAACATCAGTTTATTTTTTAGAGAAGCAAGTATTTACAATAAACTATTAAAAACATTTTTAACTACATTAGATTTTAAAATTAACTACTACTATTTACGGAAGATATACAATAATTATTACTTGAGAACATATATATATACACAATTGTCACTGAGCAGGAGTCCCTGGTGGTGCTGCTGGACTGGATGGGATGGGATGCCACACAGATGAGCTTGGAGTCTTCTGACTGCGAGTGGGACATCATCTGGGGGGTCACGGGCTCCCAGGCAGATGTTGGGCAGGACAGCACATGCCATTATGACCTGTAGAAAAAAGGAGACAAAATTTTTTTTTTTATTCAGTCATCTATCTTTTTTCATTATCTTTGCTACATGAATTATTAGAAATTTTATTTTACCTAATCTAGATCCACTATTTAACTTTTTTTTCTTTCGTTTTTAGATTTAGATTTTTTTTTCTGTTTTTGTTATATAATTGCAAATAAAATCAGGCAGTAAGGGGATAATTTAGACAAATAATTATTTATTTCTCAATCTAACACAGTTTGGGTTCTCAACACAACATTAGTAATGGTGAAAGTAGTGATTTAA